TAGAGCAATTCATACACATTCTGTATCATAACATTGGGTGCAATTTCCCCACAATGTAACAGCTCTGTTCCCACTTCCTCCCCATAGTCCCTCTTCTCTGTGTTCTTCCCTCCTGTGCACTCCTACCACCCCCCTGCCCCCAGCTGTCTCCCTCTGTATACACTGCCCTTCTAGAAATTCTTCCATGTCTGATCCCTCCAAAGAGTGTATTTACCTAATGTAAATGTTCAACTCATATGCCTGTCCTTTATTTGGCTGGAAGCCATAGGAGTGGCTTCAATTCCAGACCTGAAGGGCAGCTAGGGGCCATAGTCTCAGGGATTTCACCAGGCTCTATCAGACCAGGAATCCTGGTCTTTTTAAAATAATTTTGAGTTTTGTTCCACATTGATCTCCCATTCTATCCTACATAGATTCCCCTCCGAATGGTTGACAGTGGTAGCCCAGTACCATGTAGTTCTTCCTGTCTCATAGTCATATAGGCTGAGGATCGCATGGTGTACCAGTCCCTTGCACTAATTGTTTCCATGAATCTTTGGTTTTCTTTATTCTTCTTTGTTCTGGATGAGGAGAGACCCATCATTGCATCTAGATGGCCACTTGCAAGCTTTTAACATCCCAATTGCTACTCACCAAAGTAAGATGTGGAACAATATTCACTGCTGTCGAGTCAGATCTCATAGTGAGACTTATAGTGACCCCTTCTTGGGTTTCTGAGGTGGTATCACAATGAAAGTTGATTGCCCAACCTTCCTTCCGAGGAGTGGCTAGTGGCCTCTAGTTAGCAGTCCAATGCCTTAGGCATTATGCCACCAGAGCTTCTTTTTGTGTAATATGTTATGCCAGTTGAACCTGATGTTTCCTGGGACCATGATCCTGAGCCCACAGGTCCAACTACTCACTCCCTCCACATAGCTGGCTGTGGCCAAGAAGTCACCATAACCTTGCCCCTTGTCAGCTCTGCTATATACCTGGACATTCTTACAGCACGTACAAGTATGGTTGTAGAAACATCATGGGCACACTCCTCCATGCCTAGACATACCTGATCATTCAGCCTGTCCACCCATCTATCCACCTGGAGAGCAATGTTTGCCATCACTGACAACGCAGTACTATATGTGCAAAAGGGTTCATCTTTGTTGTCTGTACCTCCCATGCACTTCTCTATGTCTTCCTCTTCCTCAGTGCCACCATGTTGATCACTCACATTTGGTGAATTGCCCTTCCCTTCACCCAAATCAATTGGGTTTTGCTTTTTTTTAAAAAAAAAAAAAAAATGGAATTACTACTTTAAAAACAATTAAAAGTGAGTGTGCTACCTTTATGATTTTGAACCATATAGTAATGTCTGCAAAAGGCAGAACCTGGGTAAGGTGGAAACCTTTCAGGGAAGGAAAAATCAAATATTTTCCACTAAATAGAGAGCAGTGGAAAAGTGGTGATTGCACCCTGTAAAAGGCGGAAAACTTGAGAGACCTGGAAAACCAAGACAGTCCTGTTGAGTTCCCAGTCTCACAGGTTACACTTTATTGCCTATTTAAATAAAAAAAAAAAAAATTTTAAAGTTAAAAAAAGAAAAAAGATTACAGCCTAGAAAACTCGATGGGTTCTGACCTGGACGTAAGCTCACTCCTGTAGCTGAATTTTCAGTCAAACAATAAGTGGACAACAATGCTAGGAAAGTAGATACTCCCTAGAACAATCAACCATTGGAGATCAACAGGGCAGCATTCACCCAAGGGCAAAGTTCAGAAGGCAGGGAGGGTTAGAAGAGAAGGAGGAATGAAAATGAGAAATACAAGGAGGATGTCGGAGGAGTGATGCTACATTGAGGAGATTGCAATCAATGACATGAAACAAAATGTATGTGAATTGTTGAATGGAAAAATGATTTGTTCTGTAAACTTTCACCCAAATCACCATAAAAAGTTTTTTTTAATTTTTTTTACAGAAACAGACTACCACATCTTTCTCCCATGGAGTGTCTGGTGGGTTCCAACTGCCGATATTTTGGTTAGCAGCCAAGTGATTTAATCACTGTGCCACCAAGCTCCTTAAACCCTCGTTTGAAAAAAACAAACTCACTGTCATTGAGTCAATTCCAACTTAACCCCCACTGGGTTTCCAAGGCTGTATATCTTTATGGAGGCAGATCATTCCATCTTTCTTCCAAGGAGGTGCTGGTGGGTTTGAACCACCAACCTTTTGGTTATCAGCCAAATGCCTTAACCGCTACACCACCAGAGCTTCTTTAAACCCTCGTTGTTGTTGTTGTTATGTGCCGTCGAGTCGGACCCGACTCATAGCGACCCCTCCTTGGGTTTCTGAGGCAGTATCCTACAGAAGTAGATTGCCCCATCTTCCTTCCGAGGAATGGCTGGTGGGCTTGAACCGCCAGCCTTCTGGTTAGCAGTCAAGTGCCTTAGGCACTGTGCTACCAGAGCTCCCTAAACCCTCATTACTAGGAGGTAGGACATGGAGGGTTGGGCTGGACTAGAAGAAGGAAAAAGAGAAGTCCTAAGTAGGAGTCCTAGATTTCTGGTGGTGGATGCTTGCACTATGGTTCACACAGAAGGGAACAGGGGATGTGGTTGGAGAGAGGTGAGAATGAAGACATTGATTTTAGATCAAATGTAACATTCCCTAATGCTACATAAAACTGTTTTGTTGTTTTAACTGGGAAAATTTAAAAAAAAAAAAAAAAAAA